AATTAAAACCAGATTCATTTTTTGTGCAGATTGAGTTATTAGATAAGTTGTGTATATTCATCATATTTTGCGAATGATATATATAATGAGAATGGAAGAAATGCATATTTGGTTATAGTAAGAATTGTAAACTCATATTAGCAAAATTATATAAAAACCATATATTTGAAGGAGACAAGAATTTATTTATTTTTTTTTTAAATGTACATTATATACTTATACATAATACAATAAAAATGTATTATATTTCTACCAATTATTTATAAATCTGGAAGCGGATCTTCTGCCCTCAACCTATGCCTAGCATATACCAAAGAAATATGACCCCTTCTACAATCTGACAATGAAGAAGGAATTGTTATTTGTCTTTTTTTCAGTTTAGAGAGCCTAGTTTGGATATTCAATCCCTGGGCATTATTAAGATCTTGTTGTTTAATAAGTAGAACAATATACCCACTAACATTTCTCTCAATATCGGTCTTCAAATCATCATGTATGTCAGTAAACTTTGTAGGTTATGAAAAAAGATATCATCTACAAAGTATACAATACTATGACGAATACCTTTTGTGAGAAGGAAATTACTATGAAGTAGAAGACGCAAAGAAAATGCTGAAGTGGTATAATGATTTGGAGTTGAGGAAAACATAATTCTCCTTCCTCAAATTCTCCAAGGGCAACCAAATAGCATAAACTATTTGGTTCGTCATGCTTGTCCTAATGGTAATTGCTAGTTGTATTATAATTAATAGCTATCATTGAAAAGATTCTAAAAGGTCGAGGTGTAAAAGGCCCCACACCAACTTTTCCAGTTTTTCATATAAACTCCCATAAAATTCTCGCATAAATTCATTAATAGAAGTTGATAGTAGGTTAAGATTGTGAAGTAAAGTATTAACGCATTCTTGATGCGTGATATTATAGAAGCTTGCGGCATTTGAACTAGTAAATGGGAGGAGGTTATTTCATGTATATGCACCAAAATGTTCTATAAAATTTTTCCAGAATTCATCACTACAGTGGGAAGGGTTATTTAGGGTATGGAAATAATAATGGTTTACGGCATCCGTTGTTTGCATAACTGTCCTTGGATTATTTAGTAATGCCAAGTATACTAAGGTTCTACTTTCTACATCTGTAACACACTCTGAAACAGTTAAATAGCGAAGCTTTACTAATTTTTTTAACGAATGGAGATTACCACGGGCAGATATTATTAAACGGGCTTTCTCTTTTCGAGAAATATATGAGTTGGTTCTTAAAATGTCCTGTGATTCATTATTTTGAAAATTAACAGAATATTTAAGATCTATCTATTTAGACCAAAGGTGATGACGCACATCTCTTCTTATAACTGGTTTCTCTATCCCCAACCAGTGACCAAGAGTGATCCATAAACATTTATTTTTTGCATCATTAGGATAGGGATTGGCATCACCATGCTCTCCTATTTTAATTATTACTTTATCAACCAACAGAAGGAAATTAGGTGGGACATCGGATAACTCAATATTAGCCAATTTTGCCTCTCGAATTAGCATATCGATTAAAAGATCTTTGGCTGAAATTTCTTTACAAATTTTGACACCTCCTGATAATATATAATCTGACAGACAAAGAGGGACACTCCTTCATCATTTTCAATATAATAAATTTTATCACGCATACACAATCTCTGAGTCACATGTTGGGTCCAGTGCTAATATAATAGAAAATAAAATTAGATATCTGATGCAATTATCGATACGAATGATTATATAAACCCGCACTAGGTTGTATATTTTTTGTAGACTAAACAAACCACCCAAGCCAAAGTACTGAGCTATCAAAATGATAATTATGCCCTTTCGAACACATAACATACAGAAGCCAGAGGCTCTAGTTGCAGAACAACAATTTTTTGTATAGCTTAAGTATACTCATAGCAAGTAACTTGGACGAATGACTGATCAACACAAAAATAACTCAGGCATGAGAGTAAAACCAGAATCTAAGACAAAAATGATATACAGTATACCCGATTTGAATCAAAAATAATATCGCTAGTTATCAATGGTAAAATAGGTCTTGACACATTATAATCTATCAACAAGGCCGAATTTTATTCTTTCTCAAGCTTTTGTTTTTTATTATGATGAGCATGATGTGACAACTTTTTGACTGGTTTCTTTAGGGACATGTTAATAAGGTTAAAAACTTCATTTTCATTTTTACACTTCTCGATAGATGGTTGTATTGTTTTTAAATTTTAGGTTACTAATAGATAAAAATATATAGCGAATATAACGACGTATAACGAAGTATAAAAAAAATGTCAAATAAATTATAAGCGTCTATGTGGGAGGCACTCCTTTTATTAGAAATACAATTATAACTAAAGGTATAGTTATTTCAACATGTGTTAATTTATAAAATTTCCAAATATTTTTTATCATAACATTATATGTTGCAAAACATAACTTGATGATTTAACACTTTGCAATTACAAAGTACACTTTCTAAAAAATAGTAATTCGTCAAAACAATGGTTAGCATGTTGCTTTATTTGACGTTATAATAGACTTTGTAATTTTCTAACAAACAATTGCTGTTTACCAAATTCGGCACCACAATTATTGAACATGCTAATAATCGTGCATTTTCTATATTTGGGGTTACATTGTTAGCAGATATTTGGTTATATGAGGTACGGTAATAATTTTATATACACGCTATATATTTAAGCCCAAATTTAGAATAACTATTATGCACTTCGTTATTTATAGCTATTATAATGATAATACGTAGCAAAGCATGTTGATCAAACATCTAGCATCACTTTTTTTTTACTGTACATACTAGTAAATACAGAAATTTGCAAGTAAATATTGATTTAAGGTCTCACAGGTCCGCTTTTCTGCGATCACTCAATGTTAAAATATCAGTTCGAATGTGCAATAAAAACTTGACCGGCTTTAATAATCAATGGCCAGCATTATTGCTTCGCAATAACCCAAAAGATCTAAATTTTATGTGGTGTTACCTTAATTTCTCACAGTCGATTTTTTATTAAATTAATAAGTAGCGCTAATAATGAATAGCAACTAGAACCTTTCTTATCTTATATGTAATTCTGCGATAAAAATGGTGCTTAAAAGGGTTATAAGGGCAATGAGTATAACATTCTTTATCAGTAGCTTTATCCAAATTCATATATCACGGGGGACTCAAAATTTCCAGATCGTCGAGATCGTTGTCTTTTTTACTTCGCAAAAGAGATCATTAAATCTAAAGGGGTCTCACAAAGTGAGAAGGCTTCACCTCTAATTTTACCAGAAAATAACAAAATAGATTCAGTGTTTGGAACTTATGACCAAGCGGTATTGCTTTATGGAGAAAAAAACTGGCGTTAGATTTGGGTAACATAATTACTAATAGATTTTTCCTTCTGGTAGGTTTTTTAGATCTAGAGAATAAATGGTATAAAAATATGTGATTTTTGTTTTGTAAGGTGGGTAAACAATAGCGTTATTATTTTGTTTGCTTGTGTATTTTTATTTTCAATTTACTTCCAAGGTCTGGTGGAGATTTTTTATTTCGTTACTTTCTATTAACTATAAGTTTTTATTTTTTGCAGAGTTCCCCCAAAATGGCAATTATTAACCTTAACTGTGTCCTTCTCAATGATAATGGAAATTACTCTGAAGATGAAATTTTTATAATTGAAATTTCTAATGATAAAAAGTATGAATTGCTCAAACATATAATAAAAAAATGCTTGGCGCCTTTTTTCGATTCCACGCCTTCTACTAAAATCCATCTTCGTCTATTCTCTGGTACCAATAATATTAAATCGTTGATTAGAATTTCTGATCACTTTCCTACTAATCCCAATGGTGATGTTCAAATTTATGTAGCTTCCACACAAAAAAAATAATTTTTATTTGTATTTACATTATGTAATAGTGATATATTTTTTTATTTGTATCGGTATATAATGTTGTCATTTCAGCAATATAATTTTTTATAATAATATAGTAATAAAGGGAGGGGGTCCGCTAGGCTCCCAATTTTTTATTTTTACACGATCATGTTAAGTATTGTTATTATTTATACTATTATTTCGATTCCACCTATAATTTTTATTAAAATTAATAATTTTTATTTGTTGAACTATAACCTACTAATAAAGATTCTTCTGTATTTAAAATTGTTTATCTAAGCTTACAAAGCAATTAGTTGCTTCTTTTGATCAAAACGAAAGAGACAATTAAGAAAATAATGGTTATCTTTACTCAAACAGCTCCAATCGTCCCATATGCCTAAACGTGTAGGTACCTCTTTGCATACAGAGCATTTAGCTTCTGAATTAGTATATTTAAATACGTCTCAATACTATGCATTTGATTTAATATATCTCAAGAAAGGAAATCGTTTTTGCACTGCTTCAATAATTACATCTTTCTCTTCTGAAAACTTAGAAATTTTAATAATGCAATCTTGTAAGATATAATTATTGGCATCCTTTTTGGTCATGCTAACTTCATTGATTTATGAGGATTCAAAAGTTTCAGACTTTATCTAAGGATCGAGTCTAGTCTCTTCCATATATGCTTTATATAATCTAGAACGAATTTTATCTGTCTGAAAACTTAGTAAATCAACTAAATTAGTATGCCATTTACAATAGTTATCAGTTAATATCTTGCTGGAGGTTGTATCAGAAGACATGTTATTGTTTTATATTAATACAAGTCAATTCAAAATCACGTAGCTGTCAAGAGCGAAGCATGAAGTAAAAAATATTACTATCCACTTATTCAAGTTTATGTAATTATTTACTTATACTGTGATCTCAATTTCATGCCTCCACATTTAATAAAATAGGATTCAGCTTCATATCTACCTCTTATACTCTTCTTATCCTTATGACTCGACTTGCATGCTAGACATAACGACTTATCAATAAGTCTATAATAATCAAATTTTTCACTACTAAATTCTCTATATATATCAGGATATTAACCTAATATTTTATTACGAAAATAAACACGATCATGAGTTGGATTAAATAATACACTCACTTTGATTTCGGAGTAGTTTTTTGGGGAAATGTGAGATTCGATAGGTATACCCACCTCAGTCTCCAGCAATGATTTGCTATTCTCAGTTATAATATCTTCCTCCAAGGTTTTCTTGATTAGTGGAATATTTGAGTTAGAAGTCCGTTTGTTAACATAATTTATGATGTTTTGGATTTGTGTATAACTGAGGCTAGAAATTACATTTGCACTATATGAAACTTGTCTAATTTTTTCTATTCCTACCACACTGAAAAGTGTTCTAATTTTTCTAGCTTTGAGAATTTTATATCGTAAATTCACATCTGTTATGTCTGGTAGAAGCTGTTTAATTTCGTGATATACTAAGCTGGTTGCTTTTTTTTTATCAACTTTGTTACTAACAGAAACTTTATCTATTCTTCTGTCATATTTTCTAGCAAAGTGATACTAATATAAAATTGTATCTTAACCAGAACGAATCGTTTTTCAAAATATGCATACTATGGTCAGTGCTGAAACTAGAGACAAATCATTGATAGAAATGTTAATATCTTGCATTGAGTTTTCAACTACCATAGCTGAATTATTACCTCCAGTCGACATGGCAATCTGTTGCTGTAATTTTTGTTCTATAATTAGATTTGTTAATGGTTTATCAGAGAAATCAATAAGTTCAATATGTTGTTCTGAGATTTTATTACTAGACATATCAGAAATTTGATTAGAAGATTTTTCGTGATTTTTAGTAATAGAAATTTCTTGGCATTGTTCTTGTATTAAACCTTTCTCACACAAAATATTAGGAGTATTATTATGAGTTGAGAGTAACACTTGATCTCGAAGTTTTTTCTCTTTAATGCTCTGGATTATCTTATTACTAACCTGTTCTTTATATGTTGAACCTAGGAATTCATCTATTTCCTTGTCTTCTGATGATTTAATCTCTGTGCAAATAAGTGATGCAGAATATTTGTATGAACTAACTTTCAGTTGAGATGAAGACTCCTGATATATATCAGAATTTGTGGTATTACTAGATATATCAGAATTTGAAATGTTTTCAGGTATATCAGATACCGGAGCATTTTCACTTCGAGAAATCACCTCTGAAGATACATCATTAGAATTTTCTGTTTTAGTAGAGATGTCATTAACTGAAGATTGATTGGTATCTTTGTATGATTTATATATGCTTGTTTCTTTATCATTTTGCGAATTCTTCTGTTCTAATTTCGAAACTCTAGATTTAAGCTCGTTGATTTTAGCATCTCTTAATTTCGTATTTTCTGCACTTTCTTTTGTGGATTGTTATAATTCCACAATTCTAGCTATAAGTCCTGCTTTCTTAGGCAAGAATTCAGCTTTCTCCTTTTTAAGTTCAGTATTTTCAGCTACAAGCTTAGAAATCTGTTCTAATAAATCAGTTTTGGATTGTGTATTTGCCATTTTTTAACATAATATATATATACATTCAAATAATTATACCGATACAGAAAAAAACACCAGCAGATTAAAATCATATGAGCATGAAGAATCTTCACGTCAATGCCAAGAAAAATCTTTGAATATATGTGAGTTAATAGATATCGATATCGAAATATATATACAAAAGTAAATTGAGTATTTATGCGAAATAGGCTACCTGGGCCAGCTTTATTGTTCTAGAAAAATAAAAAAATAAAATACAAAATAGATAAAGAAATTCTAGTCGTTTTATAGAGCATTAACTGTAGAGCTATCTTCATCTCCTTGTATGGTCCGCATTGAATAATAAAGATAATTCTAATCTTATTCCGGTATCAGTGTTATCAGTGAATCAACTCACTTTTTCCTCTTACTACTTATCTAATATTGAGATTTTCTCAGACAGGCAGTATGAAAATTTGATATTATTATTCTTATTCTGTTTGTATTCCTGGATTCGTTTACCTTATTGATAAAAGCAAATCACTAATCTAACTCCTCAATAATTAGTAATTAAAATCGAGATCTCTAAATACTTTGGCTGAAAGGTAAATTCAATTGGCAGATTAACGAATTATTATAACCATAATCTCATATGTAAAAATTTTTTGTACTAATAAATTTTATTGAAATATACAAAAAAAAATTACAAAAATCAGGATACATATACAATATATGATGATTTTTTCACACTATATCCTATTATCCCATCTTGCGTTATTTCTTGGTTGTCTATATTATTAATTTATTTTGATTATAGATTAGCATACATGCTCGCAAATATTGGTGTATTTTTAATTAATGTAACAGCTTGCGTACTTCATGCCTTTGTCTCTCATCTTTGTCCATTTCTTTATAAAAATTTGTTATTAGGTCATTGTTAAGCACACCATCATTATAAAATTGTTTAAACTTCACACGTTCAATTTTTGACAAACCAATCATATACACGGTTTTAGAAGTTCCATTTAGATTACTTGCCATCTGAATAATTAAATCTAACGCTTTTATACGGTGTAAAAATGTAATTGTTATAACTCTCTTTTCATTTCCTATTCAGTAAATATTCCATGAACTTTTCAGATCAGTCAGTACACCGAAAACCTTAATCTTATTATTTACATAAAGGTTCGCGAAAACCATTTTCAAAATAGCCTAATATGCATAATGGTCTTCTACTGCTTTTTTGAATTCAAAAACTGCACGAATTCCAGCATTAGTAATTTTGCCTTTAACGTAACCTTCTTCCACCAAGATTAAATCCGTTCTGCCTCAGATATCAAATGGAAGTAATGAATTATTATATATATTAAGAAAATCTTTATTGTTAGCAACATCGAGAATGATAACATCAGTATGAAGTTTTGGACTGAGGTATTTGTTCAAATATTCAAAGATATGTTCTCGCTGAACTGAATGGTTCTCAATATGATCAGACCATTTATAGGGCTCTATATCTTTTTTATGCAATGCTTCATTAAACTTTACATATTCTATAGTGATTCCAGTAAAATTTTGAAAAGATTGAAATTTATTCGTATTAATTGAAGAGAGTGAAACAACTTCAACATTTTTTTTTGTTATGTGCTTATACATTTTATTTATTTTATTAATAACATCCTCAGGGAAAGATGGAGTTCAGGAAACTTGAAAACAATGAGAAATATTAATAATGTAAAATAAAATTATTGCGGAGAAAGCAGTATAGGTTTGGAATATTCGAATGCAGTCGTGGTACTACTTACCCTGCCCTTCGCCTTTGATTTTTTCAATTAATTTCGAGATTTTTTCAGCAGGTCCTCATTTTAAACCATCTTCCATTAGTTTAGCCACGTTCAGTCTGAGGAACATTTCATCGTCAACTTCTTGTTTACAAAGAATATTGAAATGCTTATCCTCAAGTCCTATATTTTTGTTGTCTAAAAATGTTATCAGAGCTTCCATTGTCTTATATCCTTCAACTTCATTGATTATAGGAAGTAAAATTGTTTTTCCGATAAAAGTAGACATATTCACGTATTTTTAGTTTTTGGATAAGACAAAAAAATTTTTTTAGTAAGAAATAGTTGTACATTCTACCTTTTTATAGTTTATACAAACAATCAGATTGTCATACAACAGGCCACATATTGTTATACGATAAAATGACAATACTAATATTGTATTTTTTTGTAACATAAAAAAATATTTTAATAAATTACAGTCCCCGCATATAGAATTTTGTTTATTGTCATTCAAGCGTATAGAAAATTAAAAAACTATTTATTTCTGAAGAGGTGTCACAGTAAGGTTACATGAATTCTTAAACTATCATTACAGTCACGTTCGTTCGTGACGGAAATTTATTTTTATTATTTTTATTTAATTATTCGAGGATATAATAGATGAGTTAGAAACTTGAAACTATTATGAAATAGTGAAGCTTTTACTTATCGTTTCTTCCCTTAAAAAGTTTTCATGTTCACATCATCTATATATTCCATTCGCTACTTTTTTGCACGTTTTATAATATAAATGTAAATGATGATTGCATTCGTCACAAACTTTACACCCGTACTTCCATCCTCTAAAGATATACCACTTTTCAAATTAATTTTTATTTGTATACATGTTATTTGGATTATTATACGTATATTAACAGAAAAAATATATAACGTGGCTAAAAATTTTTATTATACAAACCTATAATGTGTGTTTGTGATCTGTTTATGCATAATAATAAGCCTTATAAAGAATTTCTAATTTATTCTGCAAGGTATGTTTTTTGTTACCGTTATGTAACATTGTACTGTACAGTATGTAATTTATCTGTTAATAATATTTGATCTTCCTAAAGGTAAATAAAATTCTTAGTGAATAAATATATTTAAAAATCAAATCACAAATATATCTTTATTAATTTTGTAGATATATATGAAAATGGCCCAGGTCAGCTAAGTAGAAAATGAATATTGGAGTAGCGGTTGTTTCAAGAGAGGAATTTGCTGGCCTCTAAACCATAATGTAACAGTTTCTTCCTGCTACTCTATGTTATCTAACCATCTACCTATATCATTTAATGTGGAACTTTTACAACTAGTGCTATTATTATAAAAATTTTTAATTGTTGCTGTTTTAATTTTACCACTAAGGTCTTAGATGTATACCTCTATCCTGTTACATATTTTATCAAAGGTAAGATTTCTTGCATTCCTTTCTTGATCAAATACTCTTTTAAAGTGGGTTCAGATGGTTGAGCTAATATTTGAATATTAAATTCGACCAGATCCTGTAGAATTTGATGATCGTATAGATAATGATGATGATGCTTCACTTTGTTGATCAGATCCTCTTCTGCTTATGCTTTGGATAAGAGAGTATCGTTGATTGATTTCATCTTGGAGTGTTGTAATAGTTCTTCTGATTGTTTCGAATTCGTTAACAATTTGATTAA